GCCCAGAGAGATGTGGGTCCTAGGGTGCACCTGAACTGGGGTACACGGGAGCTCATTTTGAGGTGCTGTTATGCTGCAATACAACCCTCAGCTGCCCTAGACATCAAGATCACCACAGGCCAACCCAAAATATAGGCTCTTCCTATCTTTTAGAGTTCAGGCTCAGCAGGGATCTGTCACCGCGCTCCACGTTGAGGTGACGGTGAGACGTAAAGGCTATGTCTCGGAGCCAGCATGAGGCGTGCTCTGCCAGCACGCTAAGCAAACTGCAAGGTCCAGGACTGACCCGGACATTTGCTTCTTCAAAGAACAACTTAGCAGAAAAAAAGTCCAGATCTTTCTTCCAGAGGTTGTGTGCATAAATACCTTAATAAATAGCACATCATTATTTGGTACTAATACCCTGCACACCTTAACCGCATCTTTATTGTAATCTCATGTTTGGCTTCTGCTGTGTGAAAATTCAGGTTGTCTGCTGCATACTTTTCTAGGGGGAAAAAGTCTGAATTCTTTAAGCGATTTAGCCTTTTTTGTTGAATTCTGTCTGTGGCACAATGGGAGGGAGGTGCAGAATTGGTGCTCCAGACATTTATTTCACTATTTATTTTATTAGCAACATTTGACAATTGTGAATTTCTGCACTACGTTTCCTGCTGTGCAAATTGATACCAAATGCCTTCTTAAAGAAAAATGGGGTGGCTAGTTTTTTAATAACGATTTTAATAGTTTCATCCAGGGGAAGACCAGAAAATTAAGCGGGATGCAATTTTAAAAGAATATAGAGAACCTTTTGCTCTGCATCACAGTCATAAAGCTTAACCAGAGCAATATCTTTCACAATCTATAAAAAGTAAATTACAATTGAAAACCAAATTTTGAACACGTATTGTACTTCCAACTTTGCCACGAGCCAGCACTTTCTCACTAAAAAATTTATTTTGTACCTTAGATGTCCATTGTTTTAAACAGGAAGAAGCCCTCTGCCCGAAGGAACCCATACGCTAGCATCCTGCTCTTAAACAAAATGTGTAAGTACTTAACTTTCTGATCATGGCCCATGCGGTGGAAGTCATACAGAGTTACCAAGATCGTGGCTTTTTGGACCAGGCCCAGAGGCCCTTTTTTGCAGAGTCGCTCCCAGGAGCGAGGCGCGCCCACAGGACAGCAGGGAGAGCGGTAGCTCCTCTGCGAGCCGCCGCTTCCAAGCTCTGGCCCTACTTAGGGCCGAGGATGGATGCGCAGCTGGCGGGGTGGCACGCGGGCGCAGCAAGGGAGAAGACGACGTTAGCTCTGGCTGGCACTGCCTGCACGCTGACCTTTCTGAGAGTTCCCCAGATTGCCTTCTTTTTTATTCTTTTTCTTTTCTTCTTAACCTCTCCCTTGGATCTCTTTAGAAAAAAACATGAATCCCCTTGCTGGCTGTAGACCTCTCCATGTTCATTCTTGGGCAGTAAGTCCTAAAATGCAGAGTGGCTTCTAGGTGCCTCTCTGGTGCCTCTCTGCTGTGATGATAAAGGAATTCACCAAGGATATGTCAGATGCAATTTGATTTTCTCCTCAGCCCAAGGGGACTTGAGCCCACATATTTTACCTTTTGCTAGAGTACCCTAACTCTCATGATAGGGAACATCACCTCATGGTGCCGTGCTACTTTACACAAATAATTCAACTTTTTGTCACAACCATGGAACTCAGTGCTCTAATTACCAGACCAGAAAGACTTTCTTGCTATTTCTCTGGGTCATTTTGCTCAACGCAAAAATGCATGCTTACTAGCAGCAAGATCTTGCTTCTAGTGTGGTGGGCCCAGGTGGTCCTCATGCTTAGGGTGATGTTACCACAAGCCAGACATTAGAGCAGCTCTACCTCTGCTTTATACTACTTTAGGAGACAAAACAGTCCATCTGAAGTCCAGATGGAGCTTCATAGTTCTGCTCCTGCTTTCTCACCATCTTAGATGTACCAAGAACAGCATTTTTTCCCCACACAGACAAATCCTACAGTGGTTTACCCAGCAAGGATCAGTACAATTAACCCCCAAATCCCTGGGAAAGGGCTACCTGCGTCTGCAGGGCTGTTACATTTCAGGTTTTGCCATGCTTTCACTGGACTCTGCCTCTGCACAGTGCTAACACACCTTCATAGGAAAAGCTGGGCTGCCTGGCCCCATCGTGTTGGTGTGCGATGCCTTGCCAGAGCGGGGTGAACCAGCTTCCCTGAAAACTATCCAACTGGCTTTTATTTCAGAACAGAGCTTATGTGGGGAAAGGTAACATCACAAGCAACGGGCGAGAGGGTATCCTGCCCTGCGATCAAGAGCACGTCATCCCTTCTAATCCAGATTCAGAAACTGCAGGATTTGCCTTAGATGCAACAGTGGCCATGAGCTCTTATTTCTGTCTTGGCTTGACTAAATGTATGTGATCATTCCTCAGAGTGCAGACTCCTCAGCGGTCACTCAGCTCCTTCACATCCCACTGTATAATGAGGCTCTGGACTTGTAGATCACCGAAAAACTTTATCTGCGTTGGACTGCAGCTCTTGAATTCCGTATTTTAATTTAATGCAGAAAATGTGCTAATCAGAATACTCTTGAGCTGCTTGTACCGTGTTCAGAAAGCAACTAATTAAACTTTAAAATGGGCTCAATGTCAACAAATGACTAAGAAAGCAGGAAGAAGGAAGCAGAAACCCCCTAAATAACTCTACAGGTAAAATGCAGTGTAAATAAGTATCATCTCCTGCATTGCTGACTTTTCTTTATGATGGCTCATGAAGGAAGCATATGACAAATTCATCCCTGTCTTGCCACTCAATTCTGGCCGCAATTCAATTCAAGGCACTGGCTGAGGTCTGGGAGGACGGCTGGGTGAAGTGTTGTCATCCTGATGCCTTTCGTGAGTTCAGTCTGAATTAACTCAATAGCTTTGGTTGGAAAAAATGATGGTGCCTCTCTGCTGTGATGATAAAGGAATTCACCAAGGATATGTCAGATGCAATTTGATTTTCTCCTCAGCCCAAGGGGACTTGAGCCCACATATTTTACCTTTTGCTAGAGTACCCTAACTCTCATGATAGGGAACATCACCTCATGGTGCCGTGCTACTTTACACAAATAATTCAACTTTTTGTAAAAAAAAAAAAAAAGAAAAAAAAAACCAAAACGTAAAATTCAGTTTAGCTGCTTCAGCTGGGAGAGGAAAACATGACAATTTTTGTATTTTGTTTCTCCACACTTCTATTCATTTTCAATTTGGTTGCTGCACCAAAACCCGAAGTTTCTGCACATGCCTACGTCTGGACACCTCCGTGTTTCAGAAGTTGTGAGCGCTCGGTGGGGTAGGGACAGCCCGGTGAGGCAGCAGCGCCGGTCTTGGGGGCACCTAACCGAGAGCTTTAGCAGCACCTGTGGGATGCTGGACTTCGTTAGGGATGACACCAGGTCTGCTGCTTGGATTGCAGCACCCTCAAATCAGAGGTTGAAGGGATCTTTAAGCCTTCGGTGGGCTGTCTGGGCCCAGAAAGAGCTTAGTCCAGAGCAGGGTTGGGCCTCAGCCTAAAAGCCAACTTCATGACCTATTTAACAAAATTGGCATTGGTCGATTTGAAGTTGTCTACCAGGCTTTTACACAAAAAGCATTTTGTACCTGAGGATGAAGGCGTATGGTTACTGGGGGCATGGGGAGGTGCCAAGGGAGACTGGGTGCTCGGTGGCTGCTGGGAATTGGGCATTTAGCATGCCCAGTTCTTCTGAAAACCCCGCTTTGCAGTAATCTAGACCTGAAACCTTGAATATCTGATGGGAAGCCCTTTATTTACATACTGAAATACAGAAATTTAGATCATTTTAATTTCAATCTTCAAATAATTTTATTTTTCAGGGTAAAGCAGTATCAACAAGTTAATGAGAATATATGTATATAAATATCTGCTACAGACTAGCTACAGAATAGCTGTTCAGATCTAAGCCAACTGTTACATTTTATTTTATTTCATTTATTTTATTTTAGTTCAGTTCAGTTTTTATTTTTATTTATTTCAGTATTTATTTTTTATACTAGTGTATTTTTATAAAAAGAGAAAAGTAGGACACTGGATTATTTTACAAATGGATAATCTTTTCTAAGAATATTGCTTATACGTGGTATAGTTTTCTACTTACAGTAACATAGTAAAGCTTCCACTAAAGGCATATGCAATGACAGAAATATTGTTAATCTAATTATCCTTTTCTGTAACATTCTTCCTACAATAAGATTTGTGTAGCTGGATCCTCAGCCTTTCATTGACCTGAGTGCATAATAAGCTCTCAGATGCTTCTTTGGGCCAAGAAGTTAATAACAAGCTACAGGGACATCCATTTTGAGATCCTGGTCTCCAATGGCCTGGATTTTTGGTGGACAGGCGGTTCTGTGGGATTATGTCTCTCCAACGTGCCTTAAGCTAGATACCACAAAATGCAAGAGTCCAGAATTAGTTTGGCAGATCAAAATATCTGTCTTCATCTGTTTGCCTGTGAGGAGTGCTCATCATATTATGGATATCATGGCAACACAAAGAATAAATAACACTGCGCTACCTACGTCTTAACTAGGAAAGTCAAGAGGAGCGATGACCTCTGGGTAAGAATGTCTGCAACCCTTTCTGCTTTCCATGGGATTTGAAGTGCTTCAATTTCCTGCATTGTGCAACGAGGCTTGTGATTTGTAAATCGGAGGCAAACACACCTTTTAAACGATTCTACTGCATCTAACAATGTTATCTTCTGAACTTTAAGATACGCCGTAAAAAGGAAGACTTCTTTGTTCATAGTTTTATTCCTCCACCAAACATACACTGTATCATAATTCCTCCTGCCCCGCTACCAGCAAGCGACCACGGAAATTCTGCAACTGATTTATAAATTGTTCGTTACACTACCCACACGAAAGCACACGGATTAAAAAAATGCAGAAGCTTAAAATTGCCTGCCTTAATTAAAATATTTAGTTATTCACTTAGGGAAGTAACACCATAGTAAGAGAGTGAGTTGGGACCAACCGAGCATGCAAACTCACTGCACAAGTGGCTACGCAGTCCAAGGGAAGGTTAGTTCACTGAGTAAGGGCTTAACCCGATTTACACTGATTTGAGGTATTTTAAAATAAGTATTGCACCATATGTAAAGTGAGGAAAACACACCACATCATGCTGGAACGCTGCTGGTTTTAAACATCCATAGAAACGTGTTCAGAAAATGTATAAACGCAAGGAGTACACAAAACCTCCGAGAAGCATTCAGGGATACAGTCTCACTTTAAAATTGAAGGCACGAACTCCTATGGGAAAATGCCAGAAAAACAACTAGTGTTTTCTCTAATGCAAGTCTTAAAAGTGAACTAAAATTTGCTTAAAATCTTAGCGTACCGTTCGCGCCACCCTATTTCTTCTCCCGCTTTTGCATCACTATGAGAGCACCAGAAACCTAAAAATATAACGAGGTACCTTTCTCCAAAATAAATGATCAGGGCTTGAGTGTATGCACCAAAAAAGCAATACACAGAAAATTGAGAGAGATCCAGCTCACCTTGAAGTCCATTTCCATTTGCACTGGTGCAAGATGGTGGAGGAGAGGCTTGGGGCCTGACAACAGGAGCAAAGGCGCTCTTTTGTTTCACTGCAGAGATGACATTGGCAGGTGAGAATGAGAAAATGCCGTGTGTACTGCTACAGTTTGAAGGGAGGGTGACCGAAGAGGCTGCCATGGTAGGGCTTGACGGCACTACTGCAATAAAGCAAAAATAATCAGGACTCAGATTGAGGTTTTCACGGCAAACATGGAAAAAGAGAGTGATAGGGCCTTGCCTCTTAAAATATATATATATATATATAAAAAAAAAAAATGAAATGCCTTGGCTTGGCCACTCTCTGGATAACAGGCAAACTCTTTTGTGTTGGACTTTTGTTACAAATTGCGCAGTCCAATTTTTTTTCTATCTAGATTGTATTATGGCACAAACAGATCAATTTATTATATTCATTTTTACGTCCAGCCTCCAGAGTCACCCCTCCTTTTATCCAGTAGCTCACAATATAGGAAATCAAAACAATGCAAGTATTTGATTTTGTAGTAAATATGAATCTATATGATGATGTGTTACCAAAAATAGACACTTACTGCCATAAGGAGAGTTAGCTGAGGAGCCATTAAGAAATCCAGGGGAACCTGGTACACCTAGATTGGGCATGCCGGCATTGCCATATCCATTCATGCTATTGCTGACTGTGTTGTAATTGGACTGCTGAGGAGTACTGCTGGGAACATATCCTCGCGGGGAAACACTGCTTGTGTTGCGACTGTAACCTACTGTGTTAGAAACCCCCCCACCCCAAAAAAATAATGTTATTTTATAATATAGACTTAGGGCTGGGGGGTTTCCTCATGCAGCATATATTACACAGTTTTAATTGATTGCACAGCTTTGCTCTAAGTTGTCTCTTACTGCCCTATCAACTCTTGCAGTTTGAGATAACCTTATCACGCCAACCCTACTTAAATCATCTGCGAGCACTCTATGTTGTCTCTCCTCTTAGCACAGACAGCCAACAAAAGCTCTCTTCGATCCAGCTGTGTCAGGTGCCTTCACGTTTGTCTTTAGGAGCAATTATCAACAGGCTCGAGTCCTGCTTTGTACCAACACGCTGAATGAACTTTCAGCCTCTCCAGACCTTCAAATGCCATAGCTGACAAGAAAAACTTTTTTGTTGCAGTGATTTACTTTAAAAGGCTGTTTTGGGGTCTTCATTTTATGATTGATATTTTTATACTACCAATAAGCTTGTACTTTTGTAAGGTGTAGCCATCAGTGAAAATTAATTCAGGATCAAGTACAGAATTTTATAAGGCTTATTAGCTTGGAAATGCATTAAAAGACAATCTTTTTAGAAAAGGAAACATAGCAGAATCAGGATTTTAAACAACAATTTGATCCTATCTGAGCAATCAATTTAATAATTGCGTTGCAAGCAAAAAATATGGGTTTGAACATATCTAATAATCCTGTTTCCCTCCTTTCATTAGTCTCAAAATTAATTTTAAATGCAATATGCTACATGCATTTTCAATTACAACAGGTAAATTAAATCAACTATTACTTTTATTAGTAACATATATGTCACACATGCCTATAAACAAAGTATTTTAAAATCACAGACGTCAAATTAGATTTATCTGTGTAAATATTCCAAAACCAGGTGGAGATACCTAGACATAATTATTTTATAAAACACACACACGTTGTATATTTACTGTGAATAATAAAGAGCTTTCTACACTTTGCCAATTTTTTTTTTCCACCGGAGATGCTTTATGATAACAGTAAATGAAAGAACAGGAAGAATTAAATATTACGAGAAAGTTAAAGACGGCATTTCATTACACGACCAGACATATGACTACGGGGAGAGAAAGAGGTAGAACGCAGCAGTGACATCAGCTCGTATTAATAGGCACTGGCCAAA